GGCTCATTGTTCCCTTGTGAAGTAGTAGTACTTGGGAAAGAAGTACACTTATGGAAATAATGTACTTTAAAATAATATAGGCTACTTAAGTGCAAAATGAATGTAAAATATTTGGCCACTTAAATAAAAAATTAAATAAATTTATATTAAACGCAAATATTTGAACTGCTATTTATATGTAATTTCACGTTTTTTGTGTGTTTTGTTTTTTTGCTTTTGAAATATGGTCAAAGAAGTGTACTTACAAATATTAATATTATATTATCTTCAAGTACTTTTAAAAAATATATATATACCTTTAAGATTTGAAGTACCCCACAAGTGCACATTCAATTCAATAAGCACACTTTCACAAGGGTTCCTCACTTTTGCTTTCCTTCATGTAGATTCTTGTCTTTTGTCTTGTTTTGTTTCTTTTTGTAATGTAGTTGTAGACAGATGAAAAATCAGTGCATTGTGCACATATGCAGGCCTTCAGTGGAGCAATGGGGCATGGTGCCAACTGAAAAGGATTGTGCATGCACTTTCCCTCTTTATTCAAGTGTCAATGCAGATAAGCCATTTCCTTAAACGCACTACAAGTACATGAATGAACATGCTTCATCTGTTTCACTCTAAAGTTTAAATGAAACCCACCCCTGATTTAAAAAAAAAAATCAAGAAGTTTGCTTCACTAACACAATTGGCACCTTTTCATGTGCAGTCTTTATTTTTGAAAAGGCAGATTGAATAGTGCTGCTTAGTTGCTTCAGAGCAATGGAAACTCATAGTGCTTTTGTGCTTATATTCCACAGTGTTCTGAATAACAGAATTTTTATAAGACAAATATTGAGAACTGTCAGATATCATAGAGGTATGACGGTTCTTCCCGTGTCCTTTGAAAAGCTGCACACTTTACCTTATCCTTTAATAATACAGTATACTATTACATTTGATGTAATGTGCTGGACAGGTATCAGCTTCGACTTTATCCCTCTAGGTATGCGCAAGTATTTTATGGTGTATAATTTGATTATTAGCTTGAATAAATAAATTAGACCATTTTGGACAGCATTTTGTTCCTCATAGTTGCAATGAAGCATGAAAAGACCCTTCAGACCATATAAAGAGTCATAAGGCTTGTTACATCAGACTCTGTGTGCATGAAAAAACAGCATTCTTGCACTGTTTATTTGTTTCCCGCTCTCTATCTTATTTTACCTTATCTTATAAGGACCGAGTCAAAATTAAAAGTAAAACTCTATCATCAAATAAGTTAAATACATGTGTCTTTGTCTCCATATCTAAAATGGAGTGATTTATTCATCAAACAAGGATTTATACTGCGGTGGACATGTAAAATTACCTTTAGGTCAAACTTGGTTCAAACAAGCAAGAAACTAAACATTATTCAAAAAATAACAACCCAAATAAAACCAAGTTAACTTTCTCCAAAGCACACCCCATCCCCCAACACAATGCATTTCCTCACACACACACACACACGCACGCACGCACACACTATTCTCTTCATATTCTGTATTGGCTTCATGAGTTATTGTTGATATAATGGTGGTTTTGTGGCCAAACAATACTTTCTTGCTCCCCCTGGCTGTGGCCCCGCTTTGTGTGGCTGCTTTGTGGGTCTGAGCAGAAATGTTGCATTTAACTGGGTGGACGTCACTCTGAAGGAAGAGAAAAAGGAAAGTGGGTGAAAGAGAGAGAAAGGAAGTATGAGGTAGAAGTTCGAAAAAGCCATTTGTGAAAACTTTAACAGCAAGTTCTTGTTTTCAGGTGAGCTCTAGTCTGCCTTTGAACTACCCTTTCATTTATCCCTCTTTCTCATCTTCTCCACCTTTTAAGATTGCTGTGGCCACAATGTGCTGCATGTTCCTACTTACTGGCTTTTGTCCTTCCCCTATTGTTGTTTTTTCGACAGCAGCCAATCGCATGCATCTGGGGGCTGGATTTGGAAGGGGGTGGAATCTGTGGCTGCTGAACAAAAATTGAGGTGTGTTCCAGGAAAGGTTACAGCTCAGACCAGAAGGATTCCCAGCAGACAGCCCCTCCCATCCACACTGCCAAGATCTGTTGACTCTAGAACAGAAGGATCATTTATCCCATCTTGTCAGCCCAGGGAGGCCACGTTTATGGTAAAACACTGCAAAAGAGAGAAGGTAGCAAAAATATCTTACAGGGAAGATTGTGGAAATCTACACATAACTAGAGTGGGACTAGAAACACTAACTGTGCAACAGAAACATGATGAAGACATGAAAACAACTGTAACACTCCCTCCAAAGAATTACAACTAGTCATAAAATAAGACTTCGATCCTCCCTTAAAGTCATCAGTGTTTATAAACCAGTTTAGAAGCAATTTCTTAATGACAAACTGGCATAAACGGTTACTGTTACTTCATGATTATAAATCTGTTTTCTGTAAATGTGTGACGGTCTGTATGAGGAAATCCAAAATCCTCCTCTGGAAACTCTTCTGTCATGCTTGTGAGCAAACCTGTTTGATGCAGACTAGTTTTCTATTTTAATTTAGGTTGTGCATGACTTTTTCATGACACATGAATTTTATTAAAATTATACATAGGTCTGCCCTATAAACCAATATTCACTTCAATAACCACAATATTACAATGTCTATTAGAAGTGGAGCCAAATATGAGATTAGATATACTAAAAAATGTTGTAGTTTTGTTTTTACTGTAAATTAGATTTAAATGCTTAATTTTAGTGATATAATCTGTCTGGTCAAGTCACTATTCTTTGACTAGGAATGGTTAAAGTCACTTATTTTAGATGAGCTAAAATATTATGGATTTTTTAAAGCCTCACTAAAAGAGGTCAACTTTTAAGCACAAGCGCAAGCACAAAAATCATTATCGTTAATATAAAAAAGGTAAATACAGGAAAGTACAGTTAAACAAAAATATTCAGCATATATCCATGTGGGAGTCTGTTTATACTGTGCAATACAAGCACAAAACTTTAACTTTTAACAAAAAATGCGTTGTACACAAAAATGCGACTCAGCATTACACCAGGGCTTTATTCATTTAACCACAATATCAAATATTAAGTGCTGCCTGTTAAACAGACGGTCTATAAAAATGACACATCCTGAGACAATTACCAATTTCCTTCAAATACAAATCCTATAAATACAAAATTATTAATATGTACAATTTAAAAGCATAATGATTATTTAAAAACATCCCAAAAAATGAGAAAAAAAACCAAACTATAAACTACAATCAAATGCACAAAACTGCCAAAAATTAGTACACACTTCAGCACACTCATGCATATATAGACATACATTTTTCAAGTTTGTTAGGACAGGACAGTTGTCCGCATGTGGGACAGTTGCATGAAGCAAACCCCAGGTAAAAAAAACTTTTGTACACACATTAAAAAGCATTTTCAAATTAATACATTTTAAAATCTGAAACTGAAACAACTGCTCTTAAACCCATCTCAACTCCTTAACAGATGCTGAATCAACCTTATAAGGTTTCCAGAACGCTACTAAATACAAGTTTTTGTTCAGTCCGACTGAGAAATGTTTGCTTCAGAAGAATTATTTTCACTGCAGAACTGGGTGTGGGAAACTAGTTGTAAAAATCAAGCTTTTCCATTCTGAATCCCAACCCATATGTGCTCTGCATTTAAGATGGGAGTTTTAAGTAAGTGTATTTCTACACACACCAGATCAAAACAGTTAAACTCTGCTTTGTCTCTGCAGCTATAAAACCTACCATTCAGGTGGGACAAGAATCCCAACTCCAAATAGGGAAGAAGAAAAAAAACAACAACCCTGGAAACAAAGTCCACTTTGTATTCCCAGCAGTTCAGTGTTCAAACAGTATCAAAGGTTTTTTGCCAGACCCCATTAAAAGTCTGTAAACTACTCCGAGTGGAGTAGTCAACCCTGAGAACTCCATTACCGTAATTTGAGGAAAAATTGAGAGAAGACATCAAACGGACTAGGGAAAAAACCCCCACCAATTTATCACTTTGAATTAATCATTTGGAAATGTAAAAAAAAAATAAAAATCAGCTGCCAAATATGGACATTCCCTGAGGTTTCTCATTAACAGATGTGTCAGCGGTAAAAATCTTGTTTCTTGAGCCATGTAGTACTACATAATCATTATTCAGTGCCATGGGAAAGGGCACTTTTACAAGATCAAGGTATTACCTCATTGTGTCTAAAACTAAAAGATGGAGGTAGAATGAACAGACAAGCACCTATTTCTTAAAACCTGAGCACTTTTTTCCAGACTGAAAGGATCTGAATGACTGATTTTTGGTTCAGTTGAGTCTGGTTATGAAGATGCCTCCCATACACGCTCTCAAATCTTTTTGCTAAAAATGGTCACACAGCCCTCTACTGGCAATGTTTGGCGGTACTACAATAATTAAAGCTCTAGAAAAGCTTTAAAATGACCCGAGTTCCATACATCTCATCCAAGAATTACTAATAAACAGTCAATTCTACCTCATATCTAAAAAAGGCAAATACATAGGCCTGATTTTATCATCGATATTCAAGTAATAATGACCAAAAACATTGCCAATTGGCAAACATTTAACTTAAAATTGAAATAAAGTCACATGAAAATTCAGTTTTTGTTTTGTCAAAAATATCTCAACTAAGCAAAAATACCTTACTTTAGGTAATATGGCTGACTGAAATAAAAAGTATGGCTTCATAGTGTACAAAACCTAACACATGGATCTCCTCTAGAGGGCGCTTGTTGACTAAATATTGTCCGATTCTAATCACTATAGTAGTTAAAACATTAAGACACGGTCCCATCCCAAATCTACTGTCTTTATCAGGAACAGAACCGATTAAGCCAATTCAGTAGTGCATTTTATACAAACTTCAATCTGTCATTATGTGAAGGAGTGTTGTAAAACTTCAGAGGATCTATTTCTGAATTAAACTAATTACAATTGAACTCTCCCATCATCAATCACTGTTTCGTCACACTGGATAACTCATGTTTTAAGCAGATCTCCCAGATCGTATGTGTCAAAGAAGTCAGATACGCCTTCTCCATCCTCCAGACCCCAGAGGTAGTCGTCGTGGCTGAGCCGAGGAGAAAAATTAACAAAAGGCCCAGATGGGTCGGATGTGAATGCCATCCCAGGCAGCTGGTCTTCGGTGATCTGGAGAAGGCTGGGAGGAAGATCCAGGATCCCCTCCACATCGAGCAGGGAGTTGCTGCCACTGGTGCCAGTCATCGATGGCTGAGGCTTTGATGGCAAACCTGTACAAAAAAAAAAAAAAAAAAAAAGATACTGTTAGTCTGTCATTTGATAATGAATAGATGGCTTTGGTAATCATAACTAAGATAAAGCTTGTTGCAGAGTTTTGTAAACGAACTGCTGGGACACAGCTCTATTCGCTTGCACACAATGTTACCACTAGCACTTATTCAGCTGAAGCTTGCTTTGAAAGTGGTAAGTAGTAGTAAGCTCCTGGCAATTGTCTCACCTTCGACTGGCTGGGGTTTGGCAGGTGGGAAGACAGAGGGTGTGGTGGCGCTGGGGGTTTGTGGGTAATCTTTTCTGGGTGTGGCATTCTTGACGGGACTAGCGTCCTCCAAACATTCTTCAGGACACAAGTACACCTCAATTGGGCCATTCTTGCTTTTCAAGTAAATCTGCAGCAAGCCCTAATAAAAAAAAAAAGGTGAAATTTACCAGCAGATTGTAATAACCATGTTTTGTATAATATCAGTTGAGTCATAAATTACAATTTTACATCCATAATGTGAAAGAGACAAAAGATTGAAAAAATAAAAATAAAAAAAAAATTCAAAGTGGCTTTTAATAACTACAGGACAGCAAATTAAAGTATGAGGAAAGACAAGACAAAAAAAATTATATGTAATAAATCATATACATATTTTACAGCTCAAAATTCTTAAACATTAAATCTTATTGTAAGACTTTTAATTTTTAATTTAATATTAAATTACTCCGTTTGGGTTAGAATTAATATTACAGATAAATAAAAGGCTGAAAAGAGCAGCATATGTTGTATTGCATGCTTGTGTCCCACCAGGATTCTTAACTAGCTTGACCAGCAAGATTTCCTTGGTCAACTAGCTCCAGAAAAGCAATGCTAGTTGATCAGTTTGGATTAGCATGGTCCACAAGCTTGATCAACACCAGCCAGCATAAACAAGCTTAGAGAAGCATCAGGATTCATGCAGGTCTTTTCAGCAATGTTAGAACTAAGACAAATACTGACCTCAGATGCTTCTGGAACTTCCAGTTTGGTTTCAGATGGTGCTTTCACAGCAATCACAGTTTGATCTTTCAAGCTGCTTATGGTACGAATGTCCTGATAGGTCACATATCCTAATGTGAGCTTCAATTAAGGACAAACAGCTTTGACATCGAATACAGCGTTTAAAATGACTGAGAGTTCAAATACATAGTAACTTTATTGTATTTGAAATGAAAGACTCATAATTAAGATAACTGTAAAATGGATGTCTGTGCCATGTGAGTGTTTGGCTGCAGGGATACAAGCTGTTAAAACAGCATGTCTGAGCAAGCTCACAAAAGTGAAGGAGACAAACCACTCCTCAGTTCTTCAGAGTACAAACATGCACGCAATAAAAGGATATCTTTGGTTGTCCTTGTTCTCTGTCAGTTCACGTAGCCGTGTTGAGCTGGACTGAATGAGGTCGTCCAGAGCTTTCTCCTGCCTGTCCAGCTCAGAAAGCTCTTTCTTGAGAGCGCTGGTCTTTTCTGAATTGCTGGATGAGCTCTCAAACACACCACTGACCCTAAAGCACAGGGAACATATAGGGAACATACTATTTGAAACCATCATAATTAATATCACATAGTAAGAATGTATATGTGTGCATATATATACAGTATATATATGTATATATATATATATATATATATATATAAATACTGCTATATATAAATACTATATAAATAACTACTGTAATAAAACCGAAGCTCCATTCATTCAGATTGATGAGTGGGAAAACCACAAGTTAAGAAGTTGCCAAACATGAAAAGGGGAGCATTTAGAATGGACTACAACAACATCTTCGTGTCATGCATTTCAGAGTCGACTCAAAAATGAGCATTTAGCACTCTGGTTTACCGAACATCCAATCTAACAAACTCACAGCCACTGGATGTTGTTTTTGGATTTCTTGCGGATGAGTTGCACACCCTCTAAAACGTTTGTGATGTCATAGATGCGTCTCTTCTGAACCTCCAGAACTTCTGTGGCCCAGTTGAGATCCAGAACCCCATCAGCCGACTCGCTCAGCAAGCCCACAAATTTTTTAGTCAGCAGGCCAAGGGAAGTGTCATAACGGGTGCGCTCCCCTGGAGACTTGGGAGCTAGAGAGAGATAGAGAAAGAAAGAAAGATACAACAGAGGCATTCTTTTAATAATAGTTTGAATATTACCAGCTGCAGTTCCTACCAAAAGAGAAAGAGATGCTTGGACAGGTGTGTTTGCTTTTCAAACCATTATCAGATGCCCTAAAACAGGTATGAACTTCCACCCCTCACTCATCATATGGAAACGGTGGTCTTAAACAAAAGGTCCAGTTTTCTTGAACAGTGATTACAGTGATTGCGTTGACATTTGTTGTACTCACTTTTGGGGCTTGGTGCCCTTGCACACGCAGAGTTTCCTTTCCCTTTTGGTGTGCGGAATTCTGGGAGGTAAAGTGGCTCTTCCAGATCTAGTCTCCTTTTGGCCTGGGACAGAAAGACAAGATAATGTTAATTATGTCTGCCTTAAACTGCCTGTAGAAGATGCAGTTACACCAAACTATTTGAATGAACATAGCTCTAAGTTTAGCATTGTGTTCTTGGTTTCTATGAATGTTGCACGATTTTTCAGATAAACCACATTTGTTCAAATAGGAAGGAGTGTTGAAAAGCTCATACAGCAAGACACACTTGAGTGAAAGTGTATTCTGAATTGCATTGTTCAAGAACAATTACTCCCAGGCCCGGATTGGCTAATCGGGAGCACCGGGAGGATTCCTGATGGGCCGCCTGATTACTCTTCTTTCCTAAAGTGCCTGAATATACACTGCGACTTTAAATCAGTCTCTGTCCTAAAAAAGAAAAACAAGTTCTGGCCCTTCTTTCCTTGAGATGTTCACCTCAACAACTACTCATATCAGTCGATTGTAAGAAAGGTGTGGGGTTTAAACAATCTAAATGACTGGAAAAAAAAAAAAAGCGCAAGTATCATCCATGCACATGTTTCTTTTTGCTTACAACAAGATCAATAACGTGTTAAGAATTTCAATTTCATGTCGACTTTAAATTGAATTGACAGGCGAGTAGGCAGCCCACTGTCTAGACACCTCAGGACGCATTAGAGTTTACATTATAAACAGGAAGTGATCACGTTTTCAACTAGCTTTAACTTGATTGATCAGGTCACAAAGCATCGGAGCATTTAACACTGTCCATGTATGATTAAGGCCACATCCACACGAAGCCAGAGCTTTCCCTATCAGATCTTTTTTTCTTCTTCCTCATTCCAAAAAAAAAATTCCATAAACACGTCGCCATCTCACGGCGCTGTAATTCTGCCACAGAGAAACATTAAAAACAGAGAAGAGGACTTGGAGCATGCGCATAAACCTTGCGCGCAATATACAAACCCAACACAACCATCCGCCATTGTTGCTGTTGTTGTCATACATGGGGTGATGACATCAGCGCGTTTCACAAAATATATGGATTGGCTGTACACATGAAAACGCAAGGGTGTCATTTTCATATTTATCCACTCTGGGACCCAGTTTAAAAAAATAGCAGTTTCAGGCTCCCAAAATGCCGAATCCGTCTGGACAAAACGCTGATACGATACAAAATTTTTACGTATACAACTAAATGCGTCTCTGTGTGTACGGGCTCTAAATCACTGCAAAATGGATATCAAATCACATTTAAACAGGGTCTAAAAAACACAGAACCTGACAGTGTAATCTTCTGGTTAGTGCAATGGGATTCAAATTGTCTTTGAGCCTGACATCTGTATTAATATTCAACCCTTTTACCATTAAAACCTTTAAGGAGGGCATGACCTCAACGTTTACACATTTCTGAAATCTTTAGCATTCCACAGTGGGCAGATGGGCTGGTTTCAGCAACCCAACTCCACAAAAAACTGGTTTAAAAAGCCAACTGACATGGAAATCTGCACCCACATGTGCCTGTTTGATTTCCAGTGGCATTCAGGACTGCAATTCACTCAAGACAGGATACTTCTGTAACAGGCACAGGGCATGTGCTGAGAACAGTTCACTCATCCTGTGTGTGCAAGCGTCTGCAAAAATGCTTGCATTGTCCTGACCTGAATGACATCTACACCTGTCACTGACATCTGGAGCCACTGAGCAGGTGGTTGGGGGAGAGGAGGAGCATAATCTTTCCGTTTTTTTCGGTTTCCCCCCCCACCTTTTCTAATGACTCTTTCCACCTTGTCTCCCCCTTGACCTATTTGTTTTATATTATGCAACCTTTATTAGAGAAGCAAACACGTATGTGAGGTCTGCCAAAAAAATTCTGAAAAAAGGGAACATTTACTGATTGTAGCAATTACCCTTTTATTCAGCTTTTTAAACAAATTATAAATTTAATTTTAAAATATTTTCAAAATATTTTATAATTTCTGCATTGACGCAATGACAACATAAGTCCATTACTTAGGTTCACAATTCTTTTTAAATTTTATATAGTATAACTGAATCTTGCCGTTATAGCTGAATTTATATTATATTATATGAAATTTGAATTTATATTACTCATATAATTACATTATATGAAAGATTATCCCTTACAGGAAAACATAATTTGAGTTCCTTGCCAAAAAGGTTAAAAAAACAATAAGTTTCAGCTAAGAGTTGTTTCGGAGCCACCACTAGATGTTTAAAGTAGAGGCTTGTGGACTCCCTCAAGACTCTGAGGGAACGTTGTTGAATTGCCATCAAATCTGTGTTAGCGTCAGCTGTTACCATGCTTTAGCACAGCAGATGAACACACACCCACCTGGGTGTGAGAAGGGGGCCTTTGTGTGGTTTGGTTTCTCAGAACAGCAGCATCTCATGTCTGTAAGAATTTGTGGTTGGTTCTGCCTATTTCCTGTGTAGGTGGGAAATGAGAAGTGAGAAATGCTGGCTCAAAGCATATGGGGTGGAAGCTGAATCATTCACTTCTAAAGCACTGATCTGGGAGCAGCTTCACCTACTGAAATCCAAACTTTAACTACTAATAACTACACCAGTTTGCTAATAAACACATTTACATCAGAAAATGGCTCAGGAGTTTCCTAAAAATATGTAAATCCACCGAGTAAGCGAACATCACACACAGCAGTGGCTGTACAGGTTAGCAAAAACACCCATGTTTAGGCAAAAAGTACGTATGTGTGTATATATGGTATGCATACAGAATTTAATAAATCAAATATTCCTGTACATTGTATGTGTGGGTAACCTTGAATACTTTGGATAAAAGTGCCAAATGCATAAATGTCAATTTTTGTTGAGATTAAATAAAAATTTGTGACATGCGTACACAGAAACAATCAGCAGCTGTAAACAATCTTTGCAACAGGTTAAGATACATAACTTATTATTATGATTGAAAAATTCATAATGATTATTTTTAGTTATCGCAGTATCAAATAAAAAAAAGCATTAGACACTTGTTCTTAATATCAGCTTTTGCTATCAGACACAAAATATTATCAGTTATCAGTATCAAATCATTACACCGCACTCATTATTGTTAAAATATGACTTAAATAACCAGAAAAGACATTCAAGAAGTGCACCATTTCTCTTCTCACTCAAGAATAAAAAGAGAGACACAAGAGTCTGGGATCAAGTGACTACAGAGATCATAGTGAAACCCTATGAAATACTCAGCACTGCCATGGCACAATGCCCACATAGCGGGCAATGTTTCACTAATAGCTATTTCAACAAGAGTTACACAAAACCTGATCATTTCCAGTAACTTCTAAAGGACGTTTCATCATAAAAATAACCCTACTTATTGTTCTTTATTCATATACAGCATATTTACACTACTGTTCAAACATTTGTGGGTTGGTAATTTTTTTACGCTCACCAAGGCTGTATTTATTTGATGAAAAATAGAGCAAAAACAGTAATTTGTTAAATATTACAATTTAGAATAACTTTTCTATTTTAATATTTATTAAAATGCAACTTATTCCTGTGATAGCAAAGCTAAACTTTCAGCAGCCATTACTCCAGTCTTCAGTGTCACATGATTTTTCAGAAATAATTCTAATATGCCAATTTGGTGCTCAAGAAACATTTCAAGACATGTCAAGAAACAAATGTTGAATAAAAGTATTAATTCCTTTCAAACATTTGAACGGCAGTGTCATTTGGTGCAAATGAAAACAAGGCTTTGAGGGAAGTACAATGTTGAGTCTTCACACAAAATATACCTATCCAAAAAATCCTCATGAGTCAATTTCTATGGAAAACACTAGTTGTGAAATTTGAACAGAATGCTTTCATTCAGTGGTCTCATATGGTTTTCAGTGTGTACCATAAAAGTTTTGGATATTTAATAGGGCTGAAACGATTAGTTGACATTATCGACAACGTCGACAAAAAATTGTCGACAAATATTTTTGTTGTCGAGTAGTCGTTTGATCTCATATGACCTAATGTAAGAGCCTGCAATAACGCGGTTTGACCAGTGTGACACTGTAGTGCAAGACTGTAATTCAGCTCTCCTGATGCAATTCAAGAGAAGAAGACAGTGCTTCAGAGCAAAAGCAGCATAACCGAACCTGAAGAGCGGCGTTTGGATGATTATGTAAACATATGCTGCGTGCTTTCCTCTCAATAACGAAATAAACACAACAAAAACTGACCGTGGTGTGAGAGCAGCAGTTTAAAACGCATCTGATTACAGCGATGTGGATGTTGCACGAGCTCTGCAGTTCGGTACTCCAGTGCAGTCACGTCACGTTCATTTATATAACGTTAGTACTTTATGCAATAGCCTTAAATCAGGCAGCTTTACAGTATTAAACATGAAAAACCAGAGTCAGTGTCGCTTTCAGTTAGAAATACAACTTGATTTTCTGTTATAAAGCAGCTCTCCAGTGTGGAGCTAGCTAATGATAAAATCTTTTTATTAGTGGGAAAAAAAAAATTATTTAATTAAGGTGATAGTTTGGTTTGCAGAGATCAAAACTTGATCTAGCTCAGGACTGTTTTGATTATCATAACCCTATAAGGTATTTTAAGAGAGATTATGTTGTGAAAGTTGTGCTTGAATAAAATAGTTTATCCAAAAATAAAGCGTCTCATCACTTACCTTTATTTGTTTCATATCCATATGACTTACAAAAGGAGATGTCAGGCAGAATTATGTCATTCAGTGACTTTTTCATATGGTTAACTAAATGGTGAATGGGAGTTTATCTGTCTGTCATCTCATTTTGTACCAAATACATATATTTGTATAAATTAATTGTAATTACATAATATGATTTTCAAAAGCTGAAATAATTACCTTTATTTATTTGTTAGAATATGTATAACTCAATATTTTAACTAATTGCAAAAGCTGAATAATCAAGCAAAGTCTACTGATTGATCAGTGAAATAATCGACGATTAGTCGAACTAACAATCGTTAGATTAATCGATTACCAAAATAATAGTTTGTTGCAGCCCTAATATT